AGGCGGCCCTGGTGGCGTAACGGATAGCGCACTCGCCCGGAAAGCGTGAGGTTCGACTCCCGCCTGGGGCACGACTTTTGCCCATAACCCAGCATTCTGGTGATAGCAGCCAAAAGATGTATCATGAACACGTGAAGGCGGTGTGGAACGGGCGAGAGAGCTCCAAGTGAACGACTTTCCGCGGAATGGGAGAACGTGCCGTAATAACTTCTTACTATCCCACTCTGCGAAATCCGAGCCATATTTTTATCAGGATTTGCGCCCAAGGGGCAGATTTGGTCAGAAGTGTGCGCGACCGTAATTCGACGCCGTAAACACGAATATCACAGGTGTTCAGAGCAAACATACTAGGTACCGCAGGCCAACTGCTGTGCTAGGTGCCGCAGAGCGTTCCGCCCCGTAAGAGTGGTACTCGTGCTAAGGACAGTTGGGTCTCTGTACGTCTTTGCACGGTGCCTCTAGAGCACATTCAGTGCAAAAGTAAGAATTAGTGACAACGCCCAATGAGTCGACGTTGCGAGATGGTCAAACTTATAACCGTCATTACCGCGTCAATGTAATGCTTTCGTCGGTCTACTGTTCAAAGACGCGGTTCTAGAATCGCAGGCAGTGGGGTCGAAACTTATAGGTCCTACTAGGATGGCGCAAAAAGTGCGTCACATTATTTCGGAATATAATATAGTTCTACAGTCTTGTTCGCTGCAGACTCTGGGGCGTCTGAGAGCTGAAGGGCTGGGTTTGACGCGGTGTCAGCCTGTTCTTTAAAGGCACATGTACACTCAACACATTGAGGTGTTGAGACTGCGTAATGCAGACGTATGCAGTCGCCACCCCCCCCCAAGCAGCAGTCGATGTGTCGTGGTCCCACAGCCGCAAAACTGCAACGGGTCCGAGTACGGGAGCCGTGGAAAGTCGTAATTCCTTTGGCTACAGGCCACCGCGCGTGTTTTGCAAACTGACGTTTTTAAGCTAGACAAGACGCCGTCCGCCGGCGCGGTCGCGTACAGCTCTCTTAGCATTTTTTGCCTAAAGTCCAGTAATTGCGCTTGGAGATACAGTTGCATTCGGAATACAAGTACAACGCAATTTCTTTATGCGGATAACATTTTAGGTGCTGCAAAATAAGAACGAAGATGATGACGAGGCTAGAACTCAAGAGCAACTGTGCTGCTTCTGCAATATCCCTCAGAGGCCGCGCATTCCCACAAAACATCAAAATAAACGGCCTAAGCGTCCCACTCGTTAGTTTGAAGTATTTCTATAGCATTAGAGCCGGATCGCAGAAATGCACACGCGATTTTAATTTATTGCGTTTCCTTAGTTTTTTCAATTTTGTTTTATTTACATCTACATTCGTTGTTGTTCATTTCTAGTTGTCATCTTCATCACCTTCTATTCGGACTTTGAAGCATGAGCAATACCTCAAATGTTAGGAAATTGCGTTTTGCTTGTATTGTCATGTTGTCCGTTTTTATTGTCATGTTCTGTGGGAATGCGCGGCCTCTGAGGGATATTGCAGAAGCAGCACAGTTGCTCTTGAGTTCTAGCCCTCGTCATCATCTTCGGTTCTTATTTTGCAGCACCTAAAATGTTATCCGCATAAAGAAATTGCGTTGTACTTGTATTCCAAATTACAGGACTTGGCAAAAAGCCAAGAGAGCTGCACGCGACCGCGCCGCGCGGATGGTGTTAGCATAAACGTGAGGGCGGTGTAGCAAGGAATTACGACTTTCCCACGGCCCCGTACTCTGACCCCGTGCAGTTTTGGGCGGGGGGACCACGACACATCGACAGCTGGGGGGCTGATAGTCTCATACACCCTCAATGTGTTTGAGCGTACCATGTGTCTTTAAGCAGCGTTCAGACTTCGCGACGGCAGCGCTTCGGTCGCGCGTTCGACGCGATCGATGCAGTCGAAAGCATGCGCATCGATCGCGTCGAACGCGCGACCGAGCGCTGCCGTCGCGAAGTCTGAACGCTGCCTTACCAACTGTGGGAGATGGTAGAGAAAAGGCTGGCGTTGCGCCAAACCCAGATCCCGTCTTCAGCAGTGAAACACGTCTTCCACCAGATCGTCAGCACCTGGCCCCAAGCGGATCTTTACATGCTTAAATCGTTCTCGCTCCTGCGTGAGGTCCGCCGAAACTCAAGCCAAGGAGGATGCTTAAGGACCATGCCCGGTGACCGGCCACAACGTAGATTGCTTCAGAGTGGGTTGAAGACGTGTGAGATGTGTACACCCATTTAACCCAACTTGAGGGAGATGCGACTTGGTCATTCAAGAATAATGACCAATACAACATGAGTGCTGCGTGGTTGCAGTCTTGCAAATCACCCATTCTGATTTTATTCAGACAGCAAAACTAACGTAAAAATTCAATTTTTACAAGTAAATACCAAAGATCAGTGGCTTGAAGACCTACCTGTAGAAGTGTATTTGTCCGATTCGATGAGCCATATCATAAACACTTGATATCGGACAAAATCCTAGCGACCCGACAGCAGTATCAAGGAAGTTTTGTATTCTGTGTGCCTGGAACATCAATGCTCTCGAGTTTGAAAAGTGGGAACGTCCACGATTCATGAATTTTCTGAGACCTGCTGGTCCGCTCGGAGTACACGAATATGAAAAATTATTAAAGGTGTTCCAAGAGTCTCGCGCTGTTCGAATAGCATGCACTTGGTGCACTTCGGTTTGGTAGGGTCCTCAGGTGGTACTCAGCAAAGCTTGTTCAGACCACATTGTGAAGAACTGCAAATTCCTGTGACCAAAAAGGCTCTTTTATACTGCTTCACAACTTCATAGGGGTTTGCAGGTCTCATCAAAGCGTAGCCTATCGAATGACATGAATTAAGAAAAGGAGCCAGCAGAAGTCAAAAAAAGATGCAAATGCAGTACATGAAGTTGGCAAAAGTGGTCACTGCTTTGGTTGGTTGATTACGGTGCACAACGAAGTTGTAATTTCTGGAAGAAAAGTCGAGTTTCAGTGTACGTCTAAAATAACTCTCACAAGCTGTTACTGCTGCTGCTGCCATGTGTTGCGACCTAAAGGCGCCATGACAATTTCCATTCTGAAAAGGAAAATAGCGGTGTGACCATTACCATGGCGCCTTTAGGTCGCAACACATGACAGCAGCAGTGAGCTCGCGAGAGTTATTTTAGGCTGCGTCCATACTTCGCTATAACGTCTACCAGCGACCACCGTTTCGAGCGTCCGGTAGCGTCGCGACTAAGAAAGTATAGATATCTATTCAACGTCTGCCAGCGCTGACCAGCGCGTGCTACCATCTCGGAGGGTAGGGATGTATAGGTATCGATCTAGTGCCTACCAGCGCCCACCAGCGTTCACCAGCGACCAGGAGTAGAGAGTGTGGGGAAACAGGAGGGTAGCAAACAGCTATATCAGGTGTCGCGAAACTGTAGCTTTTACGACAGCACCGTACAACTGCACTGCACCATACACTGAGTCGCATAATTTTGTGGCAATTGTGCAGTGCGGTTGTAAAGCCGCAAACTCGCGATCCTGATCCAGTCGTTTGCTATCCTCCTGCTTCTCCATACTCTCCACTTCCGGTCGCTGGTGAACGCTGGTGGACGCTGGTAGACGCTGTAAACGCTAGATCAATACCTATACTTCCCTAGTAGCTGACGTTGTCGGACGCTCGAAACGCTAGTGGTCGCTGCTGGACGCTGGTAGACGTTGGATGGACGCTGCCGAAAAGTATGAACGCAGCCTTACTGCTGTAATACACGTGTAATAAATTCAGTGAAACTTTGGATTTTTTCGAGCAATCTCCCCTTAAACTTCCTTGCCAATTGAGGGGAGGGCCTCTAAGGCTGGTAGGTACTTGGAGATATGTACGCAGCCGTTTCTCGTATTGGTGCACACATATAAAAAAAGTAGGGTTAGTTGCTTACAAACCTGTAAGTGGAATTCCTTTGCTTTGATTCAGCGCTTTGATGTCGAGTGATTCACTTTGTATGCCGAAATATTCTGCGAACTTTGGACGTTTCTCTATCAGCGTTTGCAGGATCTTCTTGCCAACATTGTTGTTTTTTGCCCTTAATACGTCACTATAACGCTGTGCATCTGAAATGGTTGGCAAACTGGATAGTATCAGTTCATGCCGGACTGTTTCTCTTGTGGTCAGATCAGGACCTGGCCAGGAGTTTGGAGGTGACAGAGTACTGCGTTGTTCGCACTTACTGCTCCCTAGAATTTATTCGAAGAAAATGGCATGAAAATTCTCATTGCAGGGTGCTGGTATTGAAGCGAGGTTCCAAAATCTGGCCTAATGAGCATCCCAACTCCCCAAGAAAAGAAAAGGGGTTCGTCGCAAGGTGGATTCCATAGGCTTTGAAAAGTGAAGTCCATAGAAAAATGTATTCACTTACAATTTAATAACTGAACCACCTTTGGTGCATTTGATTGCGGATTTTGGGGCGGTTTTCCGTTGCAAATGGTAATGGGTAAAACAGTGGGCTAATCACAATGCATTTGGTGTGCGCCACGCGCTCACTTTTAATTGGAATCTTAAAAACCTTTGTCTGCTATTTTGATTAGAAGATGACTCGTGGTAGCCTAGCGAAAGCATTGGCAATATATGATCGCCCTAGGCGTGCCAACAAACCCATTCCAAGAACGAGGGTTATAACTGGACCAATGGCACTATTTCACCCTTTATTGCCCCAGTCATCCGGAAACAAGCCAGTTCCTGACCGACTTTTTTCTCCGTGGACAGATTTGCTCAAATGTTGTCTCCTGGGGTAGTTTGACCTCCTAAACACGAATATCACATCCGCTCGGCCTAAAACCTCTTGAGCCGGGGCCAAAACACCCGAAATCACCAAATCAGAACCGACAAGTGGGGTAGTTTGACCTACAGCACACGGATTGCGTTTTCTGAAAATGCCTGACGCATACGTCACAAACCTCTCATCAAATGCTTGTTTCGACTCTGTCGCGTGTACCGCAGACTCCAGTCGCTTCCAAGCGGAGCTCTTTGCTAGGGCACTTAGGCGAATGGTGAACAAAAGCAGTATTTTTCCTGTTTGCCTGTGATGATCATCCTTCCCTTGACTGAGGCTCAGTCTTAGCAGAGGAAGGGATCACTTTATCGGGGAAAGGGTGCAGAAGAGCAGAAGCAGGTTGCGCTATCACGTGTACTTCCTTAACTCCATCCTAAAAATTATAACGCTTCGCACAAATGTATATTGGTGCAATGGAGGCGGAAATTTTCAACTTTCTTCTACCCCCACGGATGAGTTTTCAGCCAGCTTGGTAGCGCCAGCGCCTGCGGCGCGAGCGGATGGAATATTCGCGTTCAGAAGGTAACTAGCCCGGTTGTCAAGTTTTTGGTGATTTTAGTGATTTTGAGTATTTCAGCGCCGGCGGCAGAGACTCGGGCGCCAGGAGGTTCCGTGCTAAGCGGATGTGGTGTTCGTGTTCAGGAGGTCAGGCTACCCCAGAGGGCAAATTTTTAGCCAACTCTACACACGGTGCAAAAAGCCACTTAAAAAGTGGTCTGAGTTTGTTTGACTGGGGCAGTGAAGGGAAAACAATCAAGTATTCGACAGAGTACTAAATTATTGTGCCAACTGCGTTTAGATAAATGCAAAAAAAGAGAAGGTGCGGAGAATGTTTGGTCCCGGTGAAAACCCCACTCTTCGAGCACTTGAAAATTATCGAAGCTGGGATCGTCAAAAAACTAAAGGTACTATTTGCAAGAGCAAGAGTTCTCTATAAGAGATAGAACTCTATACTGGAACGTTTCATCTAAAACGCCATTACTTTTGGTCAACTTAATAGCGAAAAATGGCCATGCAAATCAGTCTTATAATGCCTTTCAGTTAAATGAATCACAGATAAAATTCTCCGTATAATGTTGAAAAACAATTGGCAGAGCAATAGGAGCAATATAAAGATTACCTGATCCAAACATCTCGGATGGCTTCGATTTCCTCATTTGATAGCTCAGCCGTATATCGCTTTTTTGATGAGCACAACCCCATTGCCTGAAACGCTGACTAATCAAATACGCTGTTTCCTCGACAAGGAAGCGGTCAGTAGACAATAATTAATGGACGTCATGAAAATTAATTAGCAATGAGAACCCTACGGAGCACCTTACTCTATGGAACATTTCTATCATATTGCTATAAACACATGCAAGAATTCCCTACTTGATTTGTTCCATGGACAGAAATCTAATGGAATTGCGTAAGGTAATCCTTTGAGGCACCGTTACAAGTGCCGGTTGGTCCATGTTACCAGGGCGGGTAAGCTACCGAGAATTTCCCTGCCAGTTGACTCTGAATCATCCCGCCTTCGTCACGCCCTCCCGACTGATTGCGATTTTACAAACTATACATTATCTTATTAAAGGACAAAAGGATAAAGTCTTCGCCGTTGATCAATCCCTTTGTGGGATGCGGCACGCATACTACTTCCATTCAGAATCGTAGTGGCTTATTGAATGCGATGTGGCCTATACAATGCGGTGCCAGCCGATGTACAAGTCAGTGTTTTATCCTCCCAGACGAATCTGGTACCAATTTACCGTCCCCGGAGGGTAGAAGGCTTGGCCTGGGCGGGAGTCGACCCGGGATTTGAACCCGGCGCCGCGCGAGTGGTAAGCGCGCCACTTGTCACTACACCACCTCCGCCTCATATTATATTATTAGTCGGAAAAATACTGACTTCTTCCGAAACGGATTATCCCAGCATTGCGCAACCCTTTGCGACTGGAGCAGAAATCACTACGAATTGGTTGGAATTTTGGTCAAGTCTGTACAATCCCCACAGTTTTTGGACAGTTGGCGCCCCCCCCCCTCCTCCCTCCCCATCTACCTACCATTTTCTTCGCTTTTCCAAACCCCCTACCTGTTTCACCAAAACTTACCGGAAATTCTCCTACTTCCTCCCAAAAATATTGCTGTCTAGCGGGGCGGTGGAGAGATAAATAGTACTCACGAAATAGGAAGAACCACGAAAAGTGAACAACCACTTTGCGAAGGCCAGAAGCCCACGCCCCCCCCCCCTTCCCTTCTTAACAATGAACTAATACGACCTGCTCTCCTTTATAGCGCCCCTGAAAAAAAAATCAACTATCAAAAAAAATTTCTCAGAACAAGTATGACTCCCCCCCCTTGTTGGGGAATTCCCAACAACGATGTGTTCTGGTCCCTAGCAAGAGCTTGTAAAACTTCCCTTAAACGCAAAATTCTGGTCATATTAAATTTCATAGTTGGTGAATCGGGTGGAGGTGGCTTTTACATGGATAGGATTGCTCAATGAAGCCTTTCTTCTGATACAACTTTGCTTCGGAGACATGTTGCAAAGCTTTGTTCAGCGCTATCACTGACACAATAGTTTTCAGGTGTCACAATGAATCCAGTCTCGTGGTCCCACAAAACAGTAGGTCAGTAGGTCCCCGAAAAGGGTCATTCATGTCGCTCGGCGTTGGCGACGGCTACAGTTCGTGCCGGTGACTCCGCTCGTGCCCACTTCAAGTGGCACCCATCTTTACCTTTTTCGACTTCCCAGATTCTTGAAGTGCTGCGAAACAGTCAATATGCCTGCTAGAAGATCTATAGCAAAGGATTCTGCACTCACACAAAGCTCCTTCCACCGAAACCTCTTCTGTGGCACAGGAACCTCTGCTACTTTCCCCACCTTGGGGCACAAATTGCACGATGAGACTGTTGAAATCAGCGGTAAATTGCGCGCTAACTTACTCTTCCGTTCCATACTTCTACATATTTTTAGAGTTACGTGGACTGCACTTATTGTTAGGCCAAGTTGGAATTCAAAGAAATGGATTTGTCGGAACTGCTTTGTTGACGTCCCTTTTTCTAGGCTAGAAAGTCTTTCCTTTGTGGTGAGAAGTCCATAATTTATGTGCTTTGGGGGATAGCGCGCAAAATGTACTTTCCAAACAAGTATGACGTTAGAACATTTGTTTACATTCTGTTCCAAAGAAAGGAGTGCAATGAACCAAGAGGTGCCAAACTTTTTATTGAATTTCTGGTGACCTTGTAGAAGGAACGGTAGCCTTTCGAAAGAGACTGAAGGAGGCTGAGCCTTCTCGCACCCCCCTCGGAAGTTCTTCTTGCATTACTGGTTCAAGAACTCAAATAATTACTACTGACCGGCATATGTTCAACAACTTTCTGCGCTTCTTCACTACGAATCTTTCTAACGAAGTCTAACAAATTTATAAACAACAAACAACAGATAAATTAACAAATGTACATTACCAAGTCAAATCAAAGTCTTCGTCTTTAGTTAGTCTCTCAAAGGCGGCACCCATTTCACTTCCACTCAGTATCGTAATGGCTTTTTGAATGGGATGTGGCCTATGCAATGAGTTGCGGGGCCAGCTGATCTTATGGAGGGAACGGTAGCCTTTCGAAAGAAACTGAACTCGAACGATGTGATATCGCAATAGGATGTTCATTGTAGTAGAGCACCATCGCCTTTTCGACATGAACACGGAATATCACAATCAGGAACTTCTAGTTACGCCTGAAGCCCATGAAGCTCTTACCTCACGTAGAGCACCACCAACGTTCTCACAGTTACTTTAAAGGCAGTTGGCACGATAAATCCCCCAAGACGACTAGGATCAATACGCCTGGCAGGATAGAATTCCGCGACCCTGGCAGGCGCTGCATAGCGGTTTCCCAAGGAAGGTGCCCTTATAAGGGCCCTATCAAGCCACAACATTACGTCCCAAACGCCCGCCACGCCCGCCCGCCCACAAATGGACGACCGTTCCTGACGCTCGTATTCATTCATTTGCTAAGCAAATTATGAAGCGAAGGGATTGGTATGAAGCGGCCGTGATGCTGCATGCATATATGGGTACACATATGCAGCCGTATCTTCGGTAGCGGTGATTGGCAAGATGCCTACGGGAAACTCGTCCGAAATCGACGATCAAGTCACTGAGAACGGAGTTTCCTCACTGTGTAGCGCCCTACTAGCATTTTAGGCCTAGTAGGAAACCCCATCGTGCCAACTGCCTTCAAAGCCAAGCGCCGCCACACATACAGGGGGGCCAAAAAAAGTCATTTCGGCCGAGCCACATATCAACGAAGTTTTCGCAGCCCAGACAGGGGAAGTGGATATGAGTACCAGAGTGGAAGATACCCAAGATCTTCCTCTATAAGCTGGAGCAGGCTGCCGCCAATCGCCTTCATGTACGCCAAAATATGAAGTCATCTCCAGTCGCGGCCTGACTGGAGAACACCTTTGGAATTCACGTCGCCTCCAAACAGCTGCGAAACTTCTTGAATGAAAGTCATCCACAGATAGCTACCTGGAGGTCAGTACTCTTGATCTAGGCGAACCCCCCCCCCCCCCCCCCCCCCCCCCCCCCCCCCCCCCCCCCCCCCCCCCCCCCCCCCCCCCCCCCCCCCCCCCCCCCCCCCCCCCCCCCCCCCCCCCCCCCCCCCCCCCCCCCCCCCCCCCCCCCCCCCCCCCCCCCCCCCCCCCCCCCCCCCCCCCCCCCCCCCCCCCCCCCCCCCCCCCCCCCCCCCCCCCCCCCCCCCCCCCCCCCCCCCCCCCCCCCCCCCCCCCCCCCCCCCCCCCCCCCCCCCCCCCCCCCCCCCCCCCCCCCCCCCCCCCCCCCCCCCCCCCCCCCCCCCCCCCCCCCCCCCCCCCCCCCCCCCCCCCCCCCCCCCCCCCCCCCCCCCCCCCCCCCCCCCCCCCCCCCCCCCCCCCCCCCCCCCCCCCCCCCCCCCCCCCCCCCCCCCCCCCCCCCCCCCCCCCCCCCCCCCCCCCCCCCCCCCCCCCCCCCCCCCCCCCCCCCCCCCCCCCCCCCCCCCCCCCCCCCCCCCCCCCCCCCCCCCCCCCCCCCCCCCCCCCCCCCCCCCCCCCCCCCCCCCCCCCCCCCCCCCCCCCCCCCCCCCCCCCCCCCCCCCCCCCCCCCCCCCCCCCCCCCCCCCCCCCCCCCCCCCCCCCCCCCCCCCCCCCCCCCCCCCCCCCCCCCCCCCCCCCCCCCCCCCCCCCCCCCCCCCCCCCCCCCCCCCCCCCCCCCCCCCCCCCCCCCCCCCCCCCCCCCCCCCCCCCCCCCCCCCCCCCCCCCCCCCCCCCCCCCCCCCCCCCCCCCCCCCCCCCCCCCCCCCCCCCCCCCCCCCCCCCCCCCCCCCCCCCCCCCCCCCCCCCCCCCCCCCCCCCCCCCCCCCCCCCCCCCCCCCCCCCCCCCCCCCCCCCCCCCCCCCCCCCCCCCCCCCCCCCCCCCCCCCCCCCCCCCCCCCCCCCCCCCCCCCCCCCCCCCCCCCCCCCCCCCCCCCCCCCCCCCCCCCCCCCCCCCCCCCCCCCCCCCCCCCCCCCCCCCCCCCCCCCCCCCCCCCCCCCCCCCCCCCCCCCCCCCCCCCCCCCCCCCCCCCCCCCCCCCCCCCCCCCCCCCCCCCCCCCCCCCCCCCCCCCCCCCCCCCCCCCCCCCCCCCCCCCCCCCCCCCCCCCCCCCCCCCCCCCCCCCCCCCCCCCCCCCCCCCCCCCCCCCCCCCCCCCCCCCCCCCCCCCCCCCCCCCCCCCCCCCCCCCCCCCCCCCCCCCCCCCCCCCCCCCCCCCCCCCCCCCCCCCCCCCCCCCCCCCCCCCCCCCCCCCCCCCCCCCCCCCCCCCCCCCCCCACATCGAGCAGCTACGGCAACGTCGCTACGGTCTAGGACATCATCTTCACCGTATTCGCCGAGGCGCGAGTTGATGGTATGGACCGGGGTACCTGGAAAGGGGAAGACCGATATTTTCTTTGTAGACCCCGACTGAAGGTGAGCGCTGGCGGTTACATCAAGTAACTCGAGAAGAATATCCTCCCTACATGTGGTCGCCCGTACCTTGGAGACCTTGTGCTGCTACAGGTTTGGGTGCCACCACATGGAATCAAAGGGTTTTGGAAAAACTCCCGCCTACTTCGAATGGAAGGGCGTTTCGTACCTGAAGAAGATGTAATATTGAAGTATGTCCCCTGACCTGAACCCACTCAATTACCTAGTTCGGGCGGACT